TATCAGTTCGATCTTCACCACTGGGGGTTAGCATTCCATTATCATCAAAAAACTAACTTTATTTTTTTAAATTACACCGTAAGGGTTATTTTACTTTAATATTTATACATAAACTAGCTGACTCGGCAAACGTTGTTTTACTATATACATCATTTCGAGAACTATACATGAAAATTTATCCTACTACAATTATTATATTCGATTGCCATCTTGCAAGCCTATTGCGGTATATAAAAATCGCGATTAAACTACAGGGGTTAATCGTAAAAGCGTGAAAAATTGAATTTGTATGTAATTTCCAATGCTAAATCATGATAAAATAAATATAAAAAAAATTCTCAAAAAAAATTAAAGAAAAAATTAAGGGTGGGTCACCCTTATCATTGAGGGGTATGAAAAATAGATGTTGGCCGATTCTCAGACCTACTCGATATGCACACAAAATGTCATAAAAATCGGTAAACCCGTTTCGGAGGAGTTTGGTAACAAACACCGCGACACGAGAATTTTATATATTAGAGACAAATCATAGGAACATGGTAGACTATGTACACATATCGTTCAATGACCCCAACCAGTAACTGAAGCGCCCAATCTATGCGTTACGACACCGCGGCCTACAATGCAAACACTGTTTCGGCGCCTCGGTATCATTAGGTTCAAATGTGAACAAATAAAGATTGCGTATCGTGGTAAAGGGGGATGCATCATTTAGATAGCGCAGATCCAGAGGGAGACTTTGTACAAAAGTCGTTTGCTTGCCCACCTCTGTCCCATTCGTGTTTTTACCGTGAAGCAGTTGTGTTTCGGCTTGAAGGGTGCGATATGGCGTGAATTTACACGGTACAGAGGAATAACACCTGAATCCTCAGGAATGGCAACGCATGGAGGGTATCACGAGCAAAACAGTACACTCTGTTATGTCCACGGTACTGCTCATGTCTATAGGCGACGGTTACCACTTTCCATCAGGTGGAACGTCAGCTTGTTGGCCATTCTAAGTTGTATAAAAAAAAATAGTCTTAAAAAGACAGGTGGTGGTTTTTTAATGAATGATAATGGAATGGTAGCTCCGCCTGCGCTAACGGTATACACTAGCGGAGCAGCAATGGGAGATGACAGGTGACCTGCCGCTTAAAGGCAGGTCAGTTAGTCCACCGTGATGAAGACACCTTGAAATCAGCACGCTAGTCTCCTGAGGGGACCACGTGGAGGTCGACCTGACAGGGTATATTGATAGCAATCAATGAGAATGATAGTCCGCATTGCTAACAATCCCTTCCCTTTCCCCACCCCCCGACAGGTTGTGAGTGAAATAAAGACAAGCGAGTATAAAAAAAATTGACAAAGTGAGCTGTGGGCAAAATACAGTTGAGAAACTATGGTCTAAAACCGAAAAATGGAAAAAAAACCCTTTTGTATCCATAAATAAATAATTAATAAAAATAATTTATTTATTCAGACAACATAAGGCCCATCCCGTTAGTAACAAATTCACTTAATCTACTTTGGTAAATGAGCGGTCGTGACGCTCTTGTATTGGTAGCATTTTTTTAAAACTTAACTGTGTTAATTATTTAATAATAAAAGATCAAAAAAAAAAAAAGAACACCGACTTCAATTGTGGTGAACCAGTTTTTTTGATATAAAAACTAAACTACTGAATCGGTTTTAGTAAAATTTCTATGGGACCAATATATATACATAGATATACTTCCATATAAAAAAAAAATTCCAAATCCTTTACAACTGACGAGTTTTTAGGTAAAAAAAAAAAAAAAACAAAAAAAATACAACTAAATTGAGAAATTCCTTTTTTTTCAAGAAGATTAATCATAAATATAATTTTCAATAATGTAATTTATAAAAGTTTTTTTTAATCTTTTTTTTTATACCACAAAAGTGACAAGCATACAGCCCGTCTGATGGTAAACGCTTGCTGCTGCGAACACTTAATTCACCACATATTTTATGAAACCCCATCAAAGGATAAGTATGTCTGTGTAGCTTATCACATTCTACGTAACCTGACATTAATATCAAATATGAATGCATAATTAAGCTTGTACAAACAAACAAAGGATACCCTATGGTGTCATTTTGTACCTCCGACCGTCTGTCTGTCTGTCACAGTGCTACATCTCAGCAACAATTAACGATATTGTTAATATTGTTATATTCTCAATGTTTACTATTTGCTTAATTAATATTTAAACACTACGGAATTTATTTTGCATACATAGCACAGAAAATACACTTAATGGGCCGTCAGCTTGTTTGCCATTCTAAGTTGTAGAAAAAAACAATTAAAAAAAGTCTGTTTAAAGTAGCATTCTCATCTTAAAATTTTTTTTTATCTAATATATAAAATTCTCGTGTCGCGGTGTTTGTTAGCAAACTCCTCCGGAACAGCTTTACAGATTTTCATGAAATTTTGTGTGCATAGCGGGTAGGTCTGAGAATCGGCCAACATCTATTTTTCATACCCCTCAATGATAAGAGTGATCCACACTTAAATATTTTTTTTTAAATTTTTTGATAATATTTTTTATTTTTATTTTATTATGATTTAGCATTGAAAAATACATACAAATTAAAATTTTCACGCTTTTACGATCAACCTCTGTTTTTTAGTCGCGATTTTTATATAGCAATAGGCTTGCAAGATGGCAATCGAATATAATAATTGTAGTAGGATAAATTTTCATGTATAGTTCTTAAAATAACATATATGGTAAAACAACGTTTGCCGAGTCCGCTAGTATATATATATATATATATATATATATATATATATATATATATATATATATATATATATATATATATATATATATATATATATACGTATATATTAAAACTAATTTTTATTTATTTCACTACAGTGTAGACTTTAACCTATTATCAAATATGTGAGAAAAAGAAACCAACCCCTCATATCTGGGAAGTTTGTGAAGTGATTAATCTGAAATAATGACAGTATATAAATATATAAATGTTACAGGAGATATAAAACAATCTTTCTTATTACATTGTCTAATTTAATAATCACAATTATTGTTTGAAATACCAAAATTTATATCAATATAATAATAATAATAAAGTAGGTGTCTATTTCATATAAGGCAATGCATGGGGGGGTATCATGTGCGAAACAGTATACTCTGTTATGTCCATGGTACTGCTCATGTCTATAGGCGACGGTTACCACTTTCCATCAGGCGGGCAGCTTGCAGCTTGTTTGCAAAATAAAGTAAAGTTTATAAAGTAAAGTTGTTTGCAAAGTAAAGTTTATAAAAAAAATACAATGAATGATATAATTAAAATACTGGCATAGTTAAAAATTACAAACAAAGATAACTTATCATAACGTTTATCAAATTTTTTTAAATTATAATCTAATTTAATCAAAATTAAAATGTACTTCTTAATAAAATAATATTGTATTTTTTAGTTTCCCATTCATGGAAACACTTTATAAGGCATTAAAATATGCAGTCCCTTCAATTTTACTATATAGAGGGAGACTTTGTACAAAAGTCTATTGCTTGGGTACCTCTATCCCATTCGTGTTTCAATCATGAAGCAGTTGTATTTGCATGGCTGTGTTTCGGTTTGAAGGGTGGGATATGGCGTGAATTTACTGGGTACAGAGAAATAACACCTGAGTCCTCAGGAATGGCAACGCATGGGGGGTATCATGGGCGAAACAGTATACTTTGTTATGTCCATGGTATTGCTCATGTCTATAGGCGATGGTTACCACTTTCCATCAGGCGGACCGTCAGCTTGTTTGCCATTCTAAGTTGTATAAATAAAAAATATATAGAGTGTTCACTGTATTTAAAATCTTTAAATCTATGTAAGCCGTGTGGTACGTGCATAGAACGGACTACACTTTCCTGTGCCGCAAGTCTGGTAAGAGGCGATTATGGGAATTTAAAAATCGGTGGATAAGCAGCAGCGTCCCTCTTAATACATCGCCAAAGCCGAACTACAGTTACGATAACTACTTGAACAAATCCCAAGGGGAAATATATGGGAGCGATGGACAGTTAACGGCTTATATGGTATGGTATTTAGAATATGCCGTTAAAAAATGAGAATATTTGGTCCTGCACAGTTACTATAGCAATTGTTACTACAAGAAATTAATCATAGCACATTTTTTTTTTTTTATTATTTTCTAATATTTGTGCACATATGTTTAATATTTAATTTTTATTGTGCTATAATAACAGATTTCGCAACAGCTTTAATACTTTAAAATAGTTAAATTACATTACAGAGAAATATAAATATAATACTCGGAAATGCCACCACATGGGTACTATTTGTCTTGCAGTGTAATGTGGTGTCCATGGTGGCAGCTTGACGAACAATGGTATGTTATATGATGATAATTAATTTTATATACTTAGAAAATATAACTATTTGAATGAAATACAAATTATATACACAGCAGATGTCTTATTGGTCGCTCAATTAAAATATACATGAAATGTTGTATCTAAGAGTAGTTTGTTTCGCAACAGGCATATTTTTGCTCCGTAAAATATATCCTTAATAGTCACAAAATTAATATGGGACCAACATGGGAGCAAATTTGAGAAAAGTATCATCAAAATCCGTTCAATACCGGTAACACGAGTTGAAAATGCTTAAAAATATTTTTTTATCACTGTTTTACGTTAACGAATAAATAAACTTGAAGTTTATCAAATATACGTGATTGACTAATTGTCTATTGCATTAAAATCCATTTGTATCTTTAATGTGTTTTTTATTAATCATTGGAAACCTAATAAATGATAATATGTGTTAAAACTATGGAAATTTCTCGATAATAAGAAAATGACGGTGAACAAGTGGAAAATCGATTAAACAGTCTGCTAAAATACGACATTCATTAAAAATAAATGATATAAGACATCGCGTAGCGCGAAAATGCGTTCATGACTTTATAAATGTTTACATATGTTTTTAAAGTACTATCGTACCTGAAATTGCCGCGTCCACGGTTGTCGCGACCCCTGAAACTGTTGCCTCCATCATCCTCTTCATAACCATCGTCGTAGCCTGAAGAATCATTGAATTCTTTCAAGGCGTCACCAACAATATCACTTCCATCGTTCCGATTAATATTATCGCACAAAAGTTGCGAGTCCTGTGAGCTCATATAGTCTTCTTCCATTTTGAATGAATATTATAACGTACACGACACAATTAAGTCCTCATGCCTGTTGTAAATATTTGCAACGAAAAACAAAATTCAGCACCAGTCAACATCGATCAAGCAACAAAATGGCCGATGGACAACACCGAGCTGCCGCTATTATAGGACGAGTGTTGCTAATTCTGAGTGAATTTTTCTAGCTAAATTGAATTTAAAATGGTAGAGTGTTCCAATAATTTACTGAATTGCTGTCTATTTAGTATATTTGTATAATAAAGTATAGAATTCTAGAACATATCTATTTGTACAAATATTAAAAAAGGATAGTTTTTGATAAACTATTTAAAAACATTAATTTTGTTGCCAAATATATTAGGATATTAATAGTTAGTAATTGTTCTGTAAATAAAAACGTTTCATATTGTTTCAAAAGTTCTTAATATAGGAGTGAAATAAAAATATAAAGCGCTAGATAAGGAGAGAAATAGCCAATTTAGTTTATAGATATTAAATTGGCAACACTAACCATTTTTTTAAATTTTATTGCGTCTTTGGATGTTTAGTTTCCATATCTTTGTGTTGACATATATAAAATATGGTAAAAAAAATGGTCTAAATTAATAGAATAAAAATTTATAAGAATACCAATTACATTTACCACATATTTTGTATTTAATATTGACTGCCTGCATCTCATCAGTTTATCGTCACGAAAACATTATTATTCCAAATTAACCATAACATTTTGGTTGCACAATTACATTCATAATCACGGTTTTCATATTAGAGCAATCCTTGTCCCATATTCCTGGATTTTCAAACTGGAATGTTACGACGTGTCAAGTCGCATCCAAAATTTAATTATTTTTTTCTTTTATTCTATCTTTTACAAGTATCTATCTACAAAACTTAATACAGTTTATATTAGAAATCAGTTGTGGTATACGAAACTCTTTACAAATAGTGGTTTGTATTTCCATTATTGACTTAAGATTGTGACATTACCTATCTAACTACTAATGTCTGTCATAATACCAATATACAGTTATTTTTAGTTAAACTAAACCTTGTTTTAAAACCAATTTTTCCCTAATAGCTTATATCGTTTTGTATCAACAGTGATATTATAATAGTATATTTAAGGAGAGGAGTTGACTGAAATTAATAAAATAGTAGATTTTGCATCGTATTTATTTTACAATCGTACACAAGAAATAATATCAAACGTGTTAAGCCACACAAGTGATATAATTTATTTAAAATTTACATACTATATATATTTAACAACAATTTCTATATATTTAAATCTGAAATACACACTTTACATTTCTAGCACCTAATAATCTGTACTTGCTTCCTCATATCTTTATCATAAAGATTAATGTACAAATGATTAGAAAATGATATTAATATTACAAAAATAATCAACAATCAACAATATGACAAAAAAATAAAAATAAATTAGAAAACTAACAAGTAATACTTAATCGCTAACAGCGATATATAATCCCATTATATTTATATATAGGTAACGTAAAACACCTACTAACAGAAATAATTGGACCGTTTAGGAGGCATCGTTTCTCTATACATGTATTTAAAATTAAAATTTCAATTTGACATCACAGCAAAATCTTTTTATTTTAAAAATCAATAACTAAATTTCTGATAGATTTAGGTCATAATTATTATTTAGTTTATGATAGTTCACAAAACAGCAACACCGAGTAATAATCAAGTTAAAATATAGATAGTTAAAAGATAGATTCAGATTAGAGAAATGTTGCCTCAGAATAAGTATAAATATTAGTCCAATATCTAATAGATGCTATCTGCCTTATGACTTATTGCAGATGTGTTATTATTATCCATAATTTGTGAAATATACGATTTTCAACCCCAGTATAACTAAGGCACAATTTGCAATACCAGGCCTACCTAAAAAAAACTTTTAGAAATTGCAAAACAGAAATCGGCGGTATCGCTTCTTGTACTGTTATTATTTTGTGAAAATGTTGTTATTATTTTATGAAATCGCATGTTTGTAAAAACAAAAATACCATTACTTTTTTTAATACTGGTACAAATCACAGACTAACAATTTTTCTTTATCTAGATAAAATATTATTTTTTTCTTAAAGAACATTAGTTACCGACAACTTTCAGCATTGTTGTTTAATTTCGCTGAAGCCTTAATCTAGCTACACTAGATTTTTTTTTTTTAATTGAACATTTAATTTTATAAAAGCAGGGCAAAGTATACATAGGTAGACACTTACAAATTACGTACCCATTATTTTGGTCGGTTATTTTTATGCAAATATATCCGTCGCGTTCTTTAAATTTTCATAATGGCAACTTTCATAGGATATGGCCAAAGGCCTAGTATCTAAATCGATACATTAAAAATACTGCTACGTAATAAAATCGCGCCAAATAGATCAATATCAATTTTAAATATTTGAATAATTTTATTTAACCTTTATCATTTAGATAAAATTTATTATTATCATTAATTTCAACAATTTATTACACGATTTTGATTATATTAAAATGTGTTACAGTGAAATATTTTAAATAAACAAGTACTATCGTGGTTTGGCGGTACGATCGTACCGCCGTGCGTGGTCATGCATAACAAAAAAAAAAATCATAATTATGAGCAATAAATTAATCCATAGCTGGCACAAAGAACAATCCCGTATCACAACGCATCCATTCGTTGAAAAATATGTAATATATTTATTTAATTTATATTGCAAATGGAAAATTAATACTTAATAGATTACTACTGGGGGGATAAGGATTGTTAGTAATGGAGTCTAAGAATCCCATTGCTAGCAATATACCCAACCAGGTCGACCTCCTCGCGGTTTCCCCTGGAAACTATCATGGTTAATTGATGAATTCATCATGATGTGCTAACTGGCCTGTTTTCATTCTCATCTATCACCCTTCACTGGTGCTCCGCCAGCGTATCCCGTTAGCGCAGGCGGGGTTACCATTCCATTTTCAACCATCAAAAAAAAATAGATTACTACTTGTTTATCTTCAAGACGCTTAAAAATTAATGGAGATTGGAAAACCGATATATTATTTTAATTTTTTTTTAAATTTCGGCGTTGTCTTTTATCTGGCTTATAGAAGACTGAGATCTTACACGGTCAAAATTTACAATTTTATGTACGCGTTGGAAACTCCATTTAATTTTATTTGTATTATAAAAACACAGATCTGCATTTTAGTAATAAATATGTCGTAGAGAATAGATTTTTTTTATACAACTTAGAATGGCGAACAAGCTGACGGCCCATCTGATGGAAAGTGGTAACCGTCGCCTATAGACGTGAGCAGTACCATGGACATAACAGAGTATAGCGTTCATAACGAAGTCTGGCTACTTTATAACTATATATAATTTTTCAATAACAATTAGATTGACACAAACAAAGCCGACTTCTATTGTGGCAAATTATTTTGTTTTAAAAACTAAAATACCAAATGGATTTTAATAAATCTTCTATGGGACCAATATTTAGATAAAGAATAATTTTCCAAATCGTTTACCACTGACGGAGTTATGAGGTAACAAATATATATATATATAAAAAAAAAAATAGACAACCTCTTTCTTTTGGAGGGAAAGGGATGTTAGCAGTATGAGTTGTAGATATACGACCTAATTATCTGTGTCTATCGATGACAATGTTCGTTGCTAAGCATCTTGTTGATTGTAACATATTGTTCTGCTTATTATACGTATTTTAATATTTAATATCGCTTTCTGTTCTCCACTTTAATAAGGGATTGTTAGTAATGCGGACTATCAGTCCCGTTGCCAGCAATATACCCTATCAGGTCGACCTCCACGTGGTTTCCCCTGGAAACCATCGTGCTGAATTCCAGGTGTATTCATCACGATGAGCTAACTGACCTGCCCTTTCATCCCTCACTGGTGGCCCGACAGCGTTTATCGATAGCACAGACGCGGTTACCATTCCATCCATTGAAGAAAAATACTCGTTTTTGAAATTGGTTTAAAACAACTGAACATTTTTCTGGTAGATTATTTAAGAGTTTTCTACAAACGAATTGAAACGTTATTTAAGCAATCATATTCTTATTAAGTTGTAATTGTAAAATTGGATTTTGATGGTAAATAATGTATTTAAAAAATGTCGGAGTAAAATATGAAATTGGTGTAAAGAGTTTAGTGGTAGATTTATATGCAATGCATTCTATGATTACCGTTTAAGTTATTTAGCATAGCTCTTTTTGAATAATTAGTCAGAAATAATGAAAATAATTAATTTTTTTTAACATTGACAAATAATTCCGACATCGCCACACTTCCTTTTTTTTAGTACGTTTGTTTTGTTATGGAACAGGCTAAGGTCGGAGACCATGCTGCCTAGTCTTCAGTATTATACCACTACCATAAGTAAAACCAAAAACAAAGCTTGGAAAAGTGCATAAGCAAAGGGGGGACAGGGATTGTTAGCAGTGAGATCCAACAGACTCATTAGTAGTAACATACCCTAACAAGTCGAGTTCGATGCGGTTTCGCCTCGAAACTATCATGGTTAATTCCTGATGAATTCATCACGATGGTCCAACTGACCTGCTTCATCCTCACCTATCTTCCCTCACTGGTGCCCTGCCAACTTATCCCGATAGCGCAGGCGGGGTCACTATTCCATTTTCATCCATTAAAAAAAAAGCATAAGCAAAACTTACGAGCGCTCTAAAGAATAATTCTCTGTGGTTAAAAAAAAATTGATAGGGATATGAACAACCGAGTCGTTCATCCAAACAGCCATAATCCAATCTGTGTAAATGCTATTAAAGTGAACTTAATGACAATGAGTACGAAGAGGATCGCAAGGGTGACGATTATGGAAACATTGTGAAGGTTGTGTCCCCGGTTTCAGTCCATCCAGTCGTCGCCCCCGAAGTCGGCGCTCTCGGAGAATTCCACCACGTTTACCTGAAAACGAGTTTACAAGTTTTTTTATAATTAGAATTTACGAAAATAAGATATAGCCTATACTATTCGCTTTTTAAATTAATATTCAATTTTTAAAATTATTGGCTTCTAACAGCCCCATTGCTAGCAATGCATGGTGCATTGGTCAGGTCGCTCTCCACGCTGTTCCTAGTGAATTCGTCACGATGGTCTGACTGACCCGCTTTCATCCTCACCTATCATGTTTCCCTGGTACCTCGCCAGCGTATATCGATAGCGCGGGCGGAGTTACCATACTATGATTATGATACATTAAAAAAACAGCAGACTGTCTATGGTCAGTTTAATTACTATGACAATGTAATTTTAGACATAGTTTTAGACACAGACATTTAAATAAATATAACGACCATGTAATTTTAGACAAACTTAGTATATTTAAAAAAATACACATAATGTTAACAGAGATTTAAAAGAGTAACTGTTGAGTTTCTCGCGGGCTCTTCACAACAGATAACAAGCTTTCAAAAAAAAAATGACGAATTAAAAGTGCTTGTAAACAGGTCTATTTCGAAAAACATAATTTAAATTTGAATTTGATATTCAATTATTTATATTTTATTTGCATAATGGTGGAAATTTCCATCATAACATTGAACGCCCAAAAATTATATAAAAGATCAAGTTCGCTTTAAGTTGATCGTGTATGGATACCTTTTTAATGTCCATTGCAGAAAAAAAAAATATAGCTGTCAAATTTACTTTTTAACCATTTTTCCTTTAATTTTGAACATGAATTATATCACCTCGATTTATTTCCCCAATAAAAAAAATCATACAAAGAAGGGTTAAATTCTATTATACTTAAATTTCAAACTACACAACACCCACCTCCTCTCTCGGCGGACTGTCACTGCTGAAGCCACCGCCGAGCGCGTACCCAGCCAGCCCGCCGGCTGCCAGCGCGCCCACGCCTAGACCGACCGCGGCTCCCGTGCCGAGGCCTCTCCTTTGTTGAGCCACGTACGGTGCACCCGCCTCATACGGCTATATTAATTAATAGTTATAAAAAAAAATATATATATACAAAAAAAAAAAAAATAGGGAACAGCGATATCAATATGTGTAGTTATTAAAAAAAAAAACTTCACTTTGTGCCGTGCCATAAGAAAGGAAAAAAAAAAACTTTCATTTATTTACTACAAGGCCATATCAAATTTAAAAAAATAGAGGACAGCTTTATCAGAGATTTTTTTTAGATCGGTGATTTTTTTATGAAACTGAGCAAAATAACAGTTGGGCCCGGTCTGTTTAAGAATCTGTGATTGATCGTAGCTCGGTGTCCTACTCGACGTAGCTGATTGTTGCTTGGTATTTTATTTATTTATTTACACTTTATTGCACCAAGTAAAAAGAGAAATACCAAATACGCGCCTTATTGCTAAGCAATCTCTTCCAGACAACCTTTGGGTAGAGGACATTGGGAAAAAGACAAAGAGTAGGTGGCGCACTATTATATGAATATTATCATATACAAACATATATAGATACATACATACACATACATATAAAATATATACACAATTATATATTTTATCCATTCATATTTTTTTTGTTGTAAACTTAGCTTTTTAAAAAGCAACAGCTGCGCTCCTCGCCAGTTCTCAGCTGACATTGCATTACGAACTGGGCGGTAGATTTATAAAAAACATGGCTATTCAAAAATGGTTGTTTTTTTTTTTAATGGTTCTGATTAAATTTACTTGAATAAATTTTTTTTTTTTAGTATGTTTGTTCCGTTGTGGTACAGGCTAAGGTCGGAGACCATGCTGCCTAGTATTCGATGTGATAATTACTTAGTCTGGAACTTATTTATTATTATTAAATATTTATTTGCCTATTGTCTTGATGACATCTTCGATGAGTCAACTGAGCTATATCCATCCTTTCTTATTATCTCTCTGGTGCCCTGCCGGCGTACATCGATAGCGCGGGCGGGGTCATCGTTCTATTACCACCCGTTACTAATTTAAAATTGTATCCCATAAAAAAATCGACTTCATATTATTTTGATTTAAAATCTAAACTGTTGAAATTATTTTGGTAAAATTTCTACGTGACCTATCTGTAAGTATATATTACCAGTGGGAGACTTTGTACAAAAGTCGATTGCTTGGGTACCTCTGTCCCATTCGTGTTTCAACCGTGAAGTAGTAGGGGGAAAGGGATTGTTAGTAATGGAGACTGAGAATCCCATAGCTAGCAATATACCCAACCAGACGGGACTTCTCTTACTTACCGCTCCAGACGGGAATCCTGCAACAATAAAAAAAATAAAGGTATTAAATAAAATGGAATACTGATGGCGAAGAAGGACTTAAAGATCTTTATATAAGTTGTTCAAAATTAACCTTTTTATATATTGACAATTGTAGTTTTTTATAAAAAAGAAAATTGATAAACAATTGAAAAAGAACAAAATACATACAATACTTCAAGTCAACAGACGGCAATTTTATTTCCAATTAATATAATATAAATAATAATATATAATAACAAGAACCAGCACATTTTAAATACATAAGACTTTAAGGTTTTATATTTTTATTTCATTTTAAAAACAAGGAATTACATAGAAGGAATGATAAAATAAAAACTGTAAATCATATGGTTGCCTCCTTTCTTCTTATGCAAATATAATTAGTAGAAAGAGGACGAAAGATACACCATCAGTTGCTATTTCTCTCAATTCACAGCAGGCTGGTGTGTAGACAATGTTTGATATGTCAATTATTTGTCAATGATAAATGTTACATTACTAGATTATATATTGGACACAGTTTATGTAGAAAGTATGCGAGCAGGTTGTATCTGAACTTGGTAGGGTTATACGGCCAATAAAACCAAGTGACATATTTTGATGAACTAACTTCTACGGACTAGTCAAACGGCAAATGCGTTTTTATATGTCTATCCCTTTCTAACGCATTACAAGGATTGTTCCTTGATTCCTCGATTCCCATTGGTATCAAAATATTTTATCTGGTCGACCTCTACGCGGTTCCCCATGGAAACCATCGTGAATAATTTATTCACTGGTGCCCCGCCAGCATGTACTGATAGCGCAGCCGGTTATTTTTTTATATACAACTTAGAATGGCAAACAAACTGACGGTCCACCTGATGGAAAGTGATAACCGTCGCCTATAGACATGGGTAGTACCATGGACATAACAGAGTATACTGTTTCGCCCATGATACCCCCCATGCGTTGCCATTCCTGAGGACTCAGGTGTTATTCCTCTGTACTCTGTAAATTCACTGTCAAACCGAAACACAGCCATGCAAATACAACTGCATCACGGTAGAAAGACGAATGGGACAGAGGTGGCCAAGCAAACGACTTTTGTACAAAGTCTCCCTCTCGTAATTCAGCTGTACGTTTTGCAAAAAAAAAAAATTAAAAAAACTATATAACTGATTTAAAAATCCTTGTAAAACTGTCAGTAAGATGGACTACCAGTCCCATTGCTAGTAATATACCCTTATCAGGTAGAACTCCACGCGGTTCCCCCTGGAAACCATCGTGCTGAATCCCAGGTGTATTTACCACGATGGACTAACCGACCTGTTATTCAGGGGGGAAAAGCTTTAGTAATGCGGACTACCAGCCCCATTGCTAGCAATATACCCTATCAGGTCGACCGCCACGCGGTTCTTCCTGGTAACCATCGTGATTAATGTCAAAATCGTCGTAATGGGCCAGCTGATATCACTCCATCCTCACCTATCATGTTTCCCTGGTAGCCCGCCAGCGTATACCATTAGCGCAGACGGGGGTACCCATTCCATTATCATCCATTAAAAAAAGACTGTCTACTGTAGCTACTGCGGGGAACGTAACACTTGATAACTTTATATGTCGGACATAACTGCATTTCGCAGTACAAGTTAAAGTCGACCGTTCAAGATTCAAAGATGCTTTTTTTTACAACACAGGGGGCAAACAAGCATGCGGCTCACCTGATGGTAAGTGACTACCGCCGCCCATGGTCACTCACAACACCAACGGCATTGCAGGTGTGCTGCCGGCCTTTTAAAAAGGAATATGCTCTTTTCTTGAAGGTTATGTTGTCGTATCGGTTCGGAAATACCGCTGCTGGAAGTTGATTCCAAAGAGTGGTTGTACGTGGGAGAAAGTGTCTTGAAAAACACACGGTGGAGGACCGCCACTCGTCGCTTTCTATCACCAGAGACTTAGAATACACGAATTCAAACAAACCAATAGGATATTGAAATTTTTATAAAATTAAATCCATATTTTTGGTTACAGTTCTTTATTAAACAGAGAAATTAAGTTAAACAATTTATTATCTTATATTTAATAGCTTAGTTTTAGCCAACAAAAATAAAATGCAATTACAATTAAAAAAAAAAAAAAAAAAAAAATATATATATATATATATATATATATATATATATATATATATATATATATATATATATATATATATATATATATATATATAATCTAATAATCAGCCAATATTTTCCCAAATAAATTGACCATACGTTAATTATCTTGGTCAAATCTAAATTTGGTTTTACACGTTCAAGTTAAAATTAACTTACTTATAAAATAATTAGGTCACATGCAAACAACGTGACGAAAAGTAAATTAACACGACCAATTTTAATTTTTTTTTTCGCCAAATGCAAATTGACACGGGCAAATGTAAATTAACTTGACCAGAACTAAATTAACACGGCTAAATTTCAATTATTTTCGCCAAAAGTAAATTAACATAGTCAAATGTAAATTAACTCGATTAAAACTAAATTAACATGGTCAAATTAAAATTATTTCCACCAAAAGTAAATTAACAAAGCCAAATGTAAATTAACTTGATCAAAACTAAATTAACACGGCTAAATTTAAATTATTTTCGCCAAAAGTAAAATAACAAGGCCAAATTAAAATTGTCTCGCTGACAATCAATTGTACTTAATTATATTTAATAACATTTACTATACTAAAGATTCAATTTAGGCGACATTTTTAATACAAAAATACTTTTTGATTTTTTAACTAAACATGCGTGATTTATACACAATACAATAGTGAATACTTTAAATAAAGTTATAATTAAAAATATATAATCTATCGCTTCAATAGACAGATAGACAACTCTTTATTATTTCCTCCTTAAGATTACAATAGTAAACTTATTATAGACACAAACAATTACAAGAAAATATTACACTGAGAGAACAATGGGCGGCCTTATCGCTGAGAGCGATCTCTTGCAGGCCACCTTTGGATGGAGAGGAGTAGTTATAAACAGTTTGATGGGAGGCATGGAACTCTGTTCGTTTTTAAATACATATTATATAGAGGATAATATGGTAGCCAAGTTTGGCCACAGATAAAATCTTTGGAAACTTTTAATTTATTTAATTTTATTATAATTTCAAAATAATACTTTTTGTATTAAAACATCTCTAAAAACCTAACTGCGGTTGCCAATCCGCTTGCCAAACGTGGCAACTACTAAACTGCCCTTATGGGGAAGGCTTAGAATAGCACATTTTTTCCAGTTTAACAATGGTTTACAGCTAATAATATGTTATTAAATGCTTATATTCAGCAATGGACACCATAATTTGATGATTACATTTTGTATTGGACTCCTATAGTTGGTTGTACGAAAAGAAAACAGATATATATATATATATATATATATATATATATATATATATATATATTTTACAACTTAGAATGGCAAACAAGCTGACGACCCACCTGATGGAAAGTGGTAACCGTCGCCTATAGTCATAAGCAGTACCGTGGACATAACAGAGTATACTGTTTCGCCCACGATACCCCCCACGCGATGCCATTCCTGAGGACTCAGGTGTTCTTCCTCTGTATGTACCTGTATGTACCCAGTAAATTCACTGCCATATCTGCCATATTATTCATAGTTTTCTTTTATAATTATTTACCAAATACGAAATTGACACGCATCTCCATCGTTTCCTTTTGGCTTGCCTTCACGGCCCTAGTCTTCTAAATTCCTTTCGCCAATATCACGCTGTGCGCACATGTTGTGGCAAGTTTACCTGATCAATATATTAATGTACTTGCATGTTATAATTTAAGTTTGTATTTGTAAACTTCTGTTATGTGCGCCTAATAAATAAAATATACATATATTTCCAATTTCCCTTCCTGATTTCCTTTGTCGCCTACAGTATTAGTAATTTAAAAGGGATAAGTTAAAAAAAAGATAAGAGAAATCTCAACAGAGAATTTAAATTATTATGTGGCATGAAAACGAAGCAAAAGTCGTTTCGTTTTAAATTATATACAATCAAACATGTTCAATTTACTCACACGTTGTCAATTTTGAGAAGTTGTTCAGAGAATAAATTAGATTAATATAGATTCTCTTTTCTTTTAAATTAAAAAAAAAGTAAATTAAAATGAATTAATTTAAAATCAACAATCAAGGAATGCATTCCTCAGCTCAATTTTATTTATGTTTTTTTAATTTCTTATCAAAGTAAAGTACATACTTGTACATAAATATTTTGTACATAATAATATACAAAATACGGTGGAAAGGGATTGTTAGTAATGGAGACTGAGAATCCCATTGCTAGCAATGTACCCAACCAGGTCGACCTCCTTGCGGTTCCCTCTGAAAACTATCATGGTTAATTCCCGATGAATTGCTACCTTTGCCACAGACGTGGATAAAAGATTAACTCTCATGTTGACACTTATAAATGAAATAGCTAAACCTATCCCGAATTCCGTCTGTTGTTAGTAGCATATTGGGCAACACTAGCTCATAGCCAGTTAAAAAAAAAAGCTAATAAAAAAAGAAATTAGATTTTCCCTCCAATATTTGTATATTACATAAAGACAAGGCAATATGGTCTTAATGACTTTAGCCTGCTCTATTGATGGGCGAGTAAATTAAAAAAAAAAAAACAATTATAAATGAAATAGGACTTTTCGATAGAGGATATTACAGGGCCGTAGCTAGACCCATGTTTAAGGTAGGGCAAAAGAAATAATTGGTAGGGCAGAAGCCGTAAATAAGTGACTTCGAAAAAGTGAATCAAATTTTTTTGGAGCCATTCATTTTAAGGTAAATCATTGCTCCTTAATGCCCTCTCCCTCGTAGCTACGACCATGGGAAGCCATAGTTAAATTTTTAATTATTTAAAACTACTTTGACAGTGTAGAAAATAGTAAATTATATAACATAACATGATCTGCTAAATTAATCTTACAATAATTATAT